CCCCCCCTTACCGAAAGAAGTTACGGTCAACGAGGTCGGCAGAATATGTTTGTGGGAGGGGAGCCGAAGCGAGAAGGGGATAGGCCGCTAGGAGTATGATTCATGGTCGTGCTCAACCACATATAAGCATCCTTCTTAGCAAGAATGTGCGCTGCTGTGGGGAAAAGTTAGATGGCATTATGTAAAACGGTCCTGGCCGGGTAGACCGTGTATAACGAATTTCCTTCGACGCAGGTCAACCTGTCGTTTATCCTCCCCGGGATAGTTTGGTCACAGCTACGAAAATCCTCTTCGTCCATAACAGCAACGGCGACTTGTGCATGACGTTTTATTCATCTATCGCACTCTCTCTCCCTTCTCTTGAAAAAAAAACTAAGTCGAGGAGATTGGTAACTGAGTGTGGACGCTTGAAGTGGCCTTGGTCTGCCACAAATGCGCTACTCCCTCTCTATATCGGGCCTACTTCGAGTAGAGTGGCTACATGGATAAATTAGGATTTAGCCGCTACCATCAGACCCTCCCATCAGTTGGCAGTCTTCCATTCCAACAATTTTAGTCTCTTATCGTACATTGCTGGCATACTTAAACGAAAACGACTGGGCACGAGAGAGAGAGAGAGAGAACGGGGAGTCGATGACCTGTAGGAAGCTTCCATCTCGAACGTTTCACGTTCAAGCTCGCCTCCTATGCGTATGGTAGCCGAATGCAGACTTTTGTGAGAGATACTCCCCCCCCCGCCACCAGAGATTGAGAGGACTGGCAGTCGTGGTAGCAGAGGTCGTTCTCAAATCCATCAAGCTCTCTACCCGACCTTCACTTCCTGTCTGCTGAACGCGCGAACTTTTGAATGCTTGTGTTGTAGTTTTAGAGCAGCTAGATCTTGGCAATGACAGGCGATTGGGATCAAACAATGTCAGTTGTCATCGAACTCCGTTCTCTCCAAGGGATAATTCTCGGAGGTTGATGATGATGATGAGGAGGAGGAGGATGAGTTGCTGGTAGTGACAGCAGTGACAAAAAAGACGTCGGTGAGAACTTCTTTCACGCCAGCTGATACCGCCGCGACAGCTTTTGCCCGGACGTCACGGACGACGTGAGAGCGCAGTGGCGAAGCCGACAGAGAGATTTCAATCTGAGGTGCAGAAACAGGGCTCAAACTGCGACTACGTTGTCATCTTTTGTGTTACAATAGCAGTAGTATCCATCTGATGGGTACCCCGTCCCCTCCCTCCCCCTAAATCGCGGCCTTTTCATCGCTGGTAGTGCTGCAAAAAAAGTAAAGCCTCCCTCTCTTGGAATTCTAGCCTCGCTGACATATACGTACGCACGAGCACGCGTGTATGTGTGCATATATCTGAGAGGACGATAGAGTTTGCGAGAAGATGAATACAGAACTCTTTCGGGCTTACCTGCCTTCATGCAGCCAAGCATAACCCTGAACGGGACAGGAAACATAAAAAGCATACATGAAGCGCATATATTTTGTAGCCCGTCGAGTACAGTTTGGTTTCTGTCCAAGAACCTCATCTTTCTCGTTATATTGACCCGATATTAATAATACCTCAGTTTGACTATATATACAGCTGCCTCGCGGTGGAGGCTCGAGAGAGAGCTCTAAAGGCAATATGGGGGG